GCTAATTTTTTAAAACCATTTTTGTAGAGAGGGAGTCATGCTATGTTGTCCAGGCTGGCATCAAACTCCCAGGCTCAAGTGATCCTCCCACCTTGACCTCCCACAGTGCTGGGATTACAGGTATGAGCCACCACACCCAGCCCATTTACCCTTTATTGACCTACTCCTTCATCGGTTTTGCTGTTGTTGTTTTGAGGCAGATTCTCACTCTTATCGTCCAGGCTGTAGTGCAGTGGTGCAATCTTGGCTCACTGCAAACTCCGCCTCCCTTGTTCAAGTTATTCTTGTGCCTTAGCCTCCCGAGTAGCTGGGACTACAGGAGTGCGCCACCACGCCTGGCTAATTTTTGCATTTTTAGTAGAGATGGGGTTTCACCATGTTGGCCAGGCTGGTCTCAAACTCCTGATCTCAGGTGATCCATCTCCCTCGGCCTCCCAAAGTACTGGGATTACAGGCGTGAGCCACCACTTCGGGCCCCTCATTGGTTTAAAGGCAGGATGTTGAGGAGAGAAAATACCTGATCTATTGTTTTACTAATCTTTCAAAATTGTTGGGAGAAAAAAAGTAAAAATGAAACCATTGTATATTATCATGCATTATCTCTTTGAGGAATAGTAAGCACCAGCTTTGGCATTTTATTGAACCGGGTTTAAAATGCAAACGAATTCTGTGACTTTAGGCAAGTTCCTTTAACCACAATCTCTCTGAACCATCTGGAAATCGGAATAATACTTTTTAGCACTATTGTGAAGAGAGAACATGTACATTTTAAAAAGCATGTAGCCAGCCTGGGCAACATGGTGAAATCCCATCTATAAAACATACAGCCAGGCACGGTGGCTCATGCCTGTAATGCCAGCACTTTAGGAAGACGAAGCGGGCGGATCACTTGAGGTCAGAAGTTCGAGACCAGCCTGTCCAACGTGGCGAAACCCCGTCTCAACTAAAAATACAAAAAAATGTTAGCCGGGCATAGTGGCAAGCACCTGTAATCCCAGATACTTGGTAGGCTGAGGCAGGAGAATCACTTGAACCCAAGAGGCAGAGGTTGCAGTGAGCCGAGATGGTGCCATTGCACTCCAACCTGGATGACACAGTGAGACTCCGTCTCAAAAAAAAAAAAAAATTCGCAGGGCGTGGTGGTGCTCACCTGTAGTCCCAGCTATTCAGGAGGCTGAGGTGGGAGAATCACTTAAGCCTGGCAGGTCAAGGCTGCCATGAGCTGTGATAGCGCTACTGCACTCCAGCCTGGGTGACAGAGCAAGACCCTGTCTCAAAAAAAAAAAAGAACACACTCTTTACATTCTTTCTTTCTTTGCAGACGGCATCTTGCCTCTGTCACCCAAGGCTGGAGTGCAACTGGCACGATCTTGGGTCACTGCAACCTCTGCCCTCTTGGTTCAAGCGATTCTCCTGTCTCACAGTAATTCTTGATAGCTGGCAATTACAGGCACCCGCCACCAAGCCCGCGCCTAAGTTTTTGTATTTTTAGTAGAGACGGGGGCTTCACAATATTGGTCCAGGCTGGTCTTGAACTCCTGACCCTCAAGGTGCATCCACCTGCCTCGCCATCCCAAAGTGCTGGTATTACAGCCGTGACCACCGGCCATCTGTCCTCTTAACACATTGATTAAAATGACAAGACTACAGAAACAATGAAGAACAGATTCACTGTATTCCGAAAGCGGCGACAGTGGGAGAGGTGCTATAAAATGCGCAGCCTCCGAGCATGGGTTGGTGATCGGAACTATTCTGTATCACTGTATGTCAAATATATTAAATCATCATTGTGGTATAGTAACTATAGTTTATGTAGCTCGTAACCATTGTTGGGGAAGAGTAAAGGGAGTACACATGATTTCCCTGGTTTTTGTATTTTTTGTAACAGAGACCAGGGGTCCTTGCAATGTTGCCCAGCTGTCTTGAACCTCCCTGGGCCTCAAGGACTGTCTCAAAGTGCTGGAGATTACAGGCATACAGCCATTGCCCCTGGTTTTTCCTATTACTATTC